ATATTTATATATATATATATATATATATATATATATATATATAACAATCAGAAATTTTGTGACCAAGTGATTTAGGAATCCAATTCCTCCTCCAAAGTAAAGGAGCGTAAGGATAAGTCTAGTTAAAGATATTGATTAAAAAAAATTAACGATTAAGTTTGCAGTAAAAATCAAATATATATGTATACTAAATTCCGAAATTAATTTGAATTTAAATCCCTGATTTGAACTTCATTTCTAAGCTGTTGTTTTAATTTAAGCTTTTAAGGTGATTATGTATCAAATAATGAAGTTTGATGGGTTAATTAATTATCCAAAAAATCAGCAATAGCAAGAATAAAACAGTAATAAATTACATTGAATGAGGCATGAGGAGAAAAAAAAACAGAAGTAAGTTTATGAAGCAGAGACAAAGGCAGTAGTAGTGCATTACCCTTGTCAGTTGAGGAACCCTAAAATATTAAAAACAAGGGGGACCCCTGAATTGCAGATGGATGTGTTGGTGAGCAACAAATATGTACAGCATTTACTTCTTTGGGCACCAACAAATCTGTTTATTGCTAAACAAATGGCAGCACCTTGTCTTCTCAAACTGGTTTGGTTGGGAAACTGTGTTCCTACTTTAACATTGCTTTCTTGGTCATGTGCTTTTCTTAGGTATGCTTACAAGAGCCAAGTGACAAATATGCATCAACGGCCCAGAGAACAGTGTCCAAATCCAGCATTCATGGTTCATTATTTCAAATTCAAAACAATTATTAAATGTGCAAAATAATCCACCCTCAACTTTATTAGCCTTAGGCATGCATAAATTGGTTTGGTGGGTACCATATATACTCATATATCTTCTTGCCAAATTACAAGGATGAATAGAGAATCTAGATGAAGTAGTTGGTTCTAGAGCAGGCTAGCTAGTGTCTGTGGGAAAAAAGGTAGGATTAGACATGTGGCTAAATAAAAATCAAGCTCCTTCCTAGTAACTAACGCTAGTTATGCAAGATACATCAAAACCAAGTTGATCATGTTGTGTGTATCTCTATAGACTCAATACACGTAGATGAAGATGGTGCATATGATTGGAGAGGACAATGCAACATGCGGGTCGACACATAGAAAACAAGTGGAACACAAAATCCACATGGACTGTCTATATCCACAGAGGCAAAGCTTAAGGGGAAAAAATTTCCTTTATGTGCTTTGGTTTTCTACTATTATGCTTCTAGTTAAACCACATGTCACTTCTATTTTTATACGTTTCTTTCTTCACTTTTATGTAAACGTCTACTCTAGTAACTCTACATGTTTAATCTTGTGCCAGAAACATAGGCTTTTCTTAATTGAACAACTTTAAAGAAGCAGCATCATTTGTGAGGTGGATGGAGTGTGTGATGTGGTTTAATGCTGAATTGTTGATGGTCTTTTTCTTTTCTTCTATAGATTTATTTACTATGAAATAATGCTGATTGATGGTCTTTGTCAACATAAATAGATTAGCGATTGATACATAGATATTGTCACACCTATTTCAAAGTGTTAGAACGAGCTTCTCTTAATTTGTTTTCACACCAGCATCCCTCAAACCCCATTATTTGATAGGGATAGGAAATTAAATTTTTGAATTTCCTATCCTCTCTCATTAAGCTCAGCCTCCTATATAAAAGCCCATGTTTAATTTGCTAATTAAGGTTTGAATTCAATCTTCATAATTATAATAATAAATGAATTAGTTAGCAGTAACATATATAAAAGGGTTGAAATTTTTCACTCCTTGTGAGTGTTAAATTAATATTTAATCAGTAAAACATACATCTGGAATGGCAAATTTATTTTTAATTACCAAATTTAAAATACTGTATAGATTATGTCTATGAATAAAAAAATTACATTAATCATAAAGATGTGAGAACCTGATTCAAGAACGGAATTCTATTCTCATTTTGAACTTGGATATGGAATCGATCGTAGAATTAAAATATCACTTCACCTTTATACCAAAAACTATTCACCTAATTAATATAAGCAATTAACCACGTCCTTATTGATTATGATAAGCCAATTATAGAAAGGGTCATTGTCTGTACTTAATATCTCTATCTTGGCCTCGCCACATTTTAGTATTGGTTCAATGCACACAGCTTGGAGGAATTACTCTGTGTTCCCATTGCACATGCACTCCGAAAGCATGGAAGATTTTCTCCTTATTAGTTTGACAGTTCTATCCTTGTACAAATACAGAACTCCTTTGTCTAAGGAAACAAAAAAATTGTCAGGTCAATTCCCTTGCTCTCTTTTAATATATAGGCGAAGTAAATTGATCATTAGTTTGTTTTAAAATATGAATAAACTGACTAATATTTTAATTGAGTAACGCAAGTACACACTCCTTATCATATATATGTAATTAACAATATAAAAAGATCACGACACAACCATTGACGTATGAATATGACTTCTTAATCAATATTAAAGTACCCTGAATTTTCTTATGTGTGAATGACACACATACGCGCGTATGCATCGAGTTAGTCTAGTTGTTAGTTATTAGCTTCAGAAAAGGAGTGATGGAGAATTATAAGAAGATAAATATTAAATTTGGAAGAAAAGAATAAATAATTAGTCGATCAAGATATATAATTTATTAATTATTATATGAAAAATGATGTATTTTGATGTTAAAACTCCAAACAATTTATTTGTTTTTTTTCACTTATTAATGAAACTTGACGGTGTGGGTGGTATTGCCAAAAAAATCCAGATGGATAGAATCATAAACAATAATAATAACAATAATCATAATGATGCCAAAACTCTGAAGATTCTGCAGATACATATACATAAAAGCTAACTAGACCAAGAAACAAATGCATGGCCAGTCATGTCAAGAACATAATCAGTAGCATCAACCCCTCATTTCTCAATAATGGTGAAATTAACTGTACCAACAGAATAACTGCCACCACAAGAATCAATACTTTTATAATTTACATGACATAAATTTCAATGTCTCCTCTGTATATAGGATTGATGTCTCTCGGAATTTGTGCATCATAAGTCCTTGGAGAGTCAAAAATCACTGGAACAGAACAATGGATCTACAAAAGATATGGTCTTATTTGGTCGGTATTTTCTGTCCTTTTGGTTCTTCATCCATTAATTTTGGTGCCCTTTATTCATCTTCAAAGGTCACTTTAATCTGATGGACTAGGAACCAAGCCACACTCTTTACGCCACCAATTACCCTACCCTTCCTTAATACTGATACCAAGCGTTGCTTTGCTTTTTTGTGCTAATTCCTAACTTCTTTTTGGCTCATTCTTTTGCTTCTTTGGAATTTCCTTACCTAGTGTAAAAGCTAAATCCTGAAAAAGTTTTTTTTTAACAAAAGGTTAGGCTCATATTATTAAATTATATAATAATGTTTTAATATGGGGCAGGCTTTGAAAACTTACAACATGTTCGTAGTTTTGTAGGGCAGCTTTTGTGAATTTTATATTAATGAAAGGAACATAAGTTGTTGCTGAATCCATATGGATGAAGAAACTTTTGTCTCTGGTCCTCTGCGTCCCAGAATTGACTACCGGTATCCTGAAAATGATGTTTTTGTCAATAATAGTAAACAAAATAAAATAAAAATAAAAATAAAAATAAAATAAAAAACTTTTTTTCTTTTTTCTTGAAAATCATTTTTTTTTGGTGTTTTCTCTTCATACCTCTTCAGAGAAGACATTGGACCGCTGCCCTTGAAGAAAAAGTGAAGCGGAATTGTCCAAAAGATAGTCACTAGCGGTGTGGAAGATGTTGGTGGGGTTCATGGTGGTTGTATCAGCAAAAGTTGTGGCTTGGTTGGGGCTGTTGCAATGTGACACAGATGGAAGTGGTGATGGTGATGCCATGCTATTTAGTTTCTGAAAATACAAAGAGACCAAGTTAATTAATTTCATGATTACTTGATTAGACATTTTAATTTGATCACTCAACTACTTGTATATGCCACTAGCACATGGAAATTGTTTTCTCGCTCACCTCTGGTCTAACAAATAGTGAGTCTAGGTCCGTTGTCAAATCATAAAACATGGGACTCACAGAAGCCAGCTTCATTGACAAGAACTGCACAAATTATAGCCATGACTAACTTGTTAATATTATACACATTGTGTATATATATATAGGTAATGATGAATAACTAAGGTTAAAAAGAAAAGAGTATATTAGGGTACCTCAACTTGATTCTGTAAAGACTGAACATAATTGATTATTTCATCCAACATAAGGGCCTTTCCAGTCACCTAGTTAAAAACCAAACCACATGAAGCTGTCAGAATAGCTGGGAAAAACTACGTATGAAGGGAAATTCTACTCACAAATCACACAACCGATCAAAAGGATAACAAAGGAGTAGTTAAATGTTAACGTTATATTTCAATATTATTTTATAAAAAAGAAGAAAATCATTGGTCCTACATGCAAGTGTGACATGAAGTTCTACTTCACCTACCTTATCACAGCCTGGCACAAGCCGTTGCAACACCTTCATCCTTTCACTTATCTTCTCTCTTCTCACCTGAAACCCATTTTTCTTGCAACATTAGAATGAGACATGAAGATAAAACTCTAGGGCAGCCAGCACAATAGTGGGGCCCACAGATAATTTTTTTTTCTTTTTCTTTTTCAAGTTGTTAAGAGAGTAGTACAGTACCCTCTCAGCAAGGCTGTGGCTATCCGTTGCCTGACCCCTTCTTGCTCTGACGTGGATATAGCCAGTTGGGGGCTCTTCAGCACACTTTTTCTCCTTCTTCTCTTCTTTTGCCTTCTCCTCTTCTTTCACCCCACAATTGCTCTTCCTTTGTTTCTTGTTCCTCCCTTCTGTTGCAATATCCTACAATAATCCACAAAACCAATTTGGTTAACACATTAAACATCATAGTGTAGCAAAATACGCAAAACTTATATAATTAAAGAGCTAGAACATATATCACTTGATTCACTTCTCAACTATATCACAAACCATTTGTTAACTTTTATTATGCTAAGATTCTGTATAGATACAATCATATAAATTTAAAAGTGTTTTTTATGGAAAATAAAGAGTTTTTTTTCCCTTAGTAGAAAGCTATAAAATAGCTTTTTTAAATTTGGGTTTAGGAACATTTTAAAACTCATAACAAGGATTATTTCTGAAGGAAAGACAGTGTAAAACTTGTTTACACTCAATTAGTTTACCTTGGATTGAGGGTTGCTCAAGGAAGATCCATTTCTGGTTCTCCTTTTCTTCTGGACAGGAGTCACCTTCTGAGTGACCTGTTCACCAGTTTCAAGCTTGTCCACCACCATGGAGGACTGAGGACTAAGGTTTTTGGTGACAGAAGGCTCATTGTCACTGATGGTGATCTTGGAACTTTGGTCAACACAGCTAGTTTCCTGGTTAGTGACATTAGGAGATGTTTCCTGAGGAAAGTGAAAGTGAGGAGGAGAAGGAGGAGTGTGCATGTTGGGGAAGAATGCAGGGTCAACAAGGAAAGGGTGGTACTGGTATGAAAAAGCTGCCATGTGTGTGGTGTTGTTTTTGCTTTGGGTTGGAGAATGCAATCAAGTTTATGAGGAAAGTGATGGAAGAAAGGGTGTGGAAGGGTCAGGGAAAGTTGGTCTGTGACAAAACTAAAAGGGTATGGTGTCTATATATAAAGATCTGGCCACATAAAATGCTGAAATCTTTAAAAGCAGTAACTAGCTGCCATGCAGACGCAGTACATTTGACTGGTCTAATCTCATCAACTATTTTTTTTATTCTCACAATAACTGGTCATAATAAATGACACCCATATTATGATAAGCAAAAAAGATTATTTCACTTTTTGGGAATTGTTTGTCGGAATTCGGAAGCTTATAGTTTTTTTTGTTTTTTTTTTTTTTTAAGTACATGATTTAGAATGGATTAGAAAAGAAGAGAAATAATTAGTAAAATTTTTTTTTAAAAAAAGTATACTTAAAAAGAGAATATCGAAATTTTATAAAATGACAAATATATATATATATATATATATTATTTTTTTTCTCATTCTACTTAATAATAATTATATATTTTATTTTATTTCTTATAAAATTAATTCTTGTTCATTCTTTTCCATTCTGTTTATTCCTCCTGTCTTATAATAAATACATATAATAAAAGTCCAAGACATTTAAACTGTAATAATTATATGTCAATTTAAAGAGTATTAAATAATTCTGACATTATTTACTACGTTAGGAATTATTTAAAAGTTTCTATCTGTTTAAAAATATGTCATTTTAAAATTCAATTAAGTATTGGTTATATATATGTAAAAAATATTATTTATTAGTATCTTAATTAAATATTTAATTTATTTATAAATTTAATTTGAATCGTATAATGAAAATGGATTAAATTATTAACTTGACTCTAAAGTATTTGAGGATTTTAAAGTAGGTCTTTAATTTAATTTTATTTTTGAATCAATAAAAATAGGATGGACCTAGTAGTAAGATATTAGAGGTAGATCTATGAAGACTTACATTTGATTCTCATTATTGTAATTGTAAAAAAAAATATATTAATTGGATCCTTGATAAAGTATTTTTTTAGGAATTTAATAGTGATGTATTGCTAATATAAAAGTTTTTATACTATTAACTAATAAAAATTTCTATTAGTTTGATTTTTAAGATAATTATTATAAAAGTTAACAAAACTTATCATATACAATGATTTATGATTGAACCAATGATCGTGTAAAATTGTTAGGGCATAGCCTTTTTTTTTCTTCATTTTTTAGACTAGGGATGACAAGTAAATTCATACCCTTGTGTAATACTCAAATCTGTTCCAATTTTGACGAGAAATATTCAATCTAATTAAGTATGGATATGAATACGAATAATACTTGATTCATTAAATCAAAGATGGGTATATACTTGTGCGCCTCATATCTATATCTGCCTTAAATTTTTAAAAACTTGATTTATTTAAAAAATATATACTTGGCCTTTATATAATTTCTATTCAATTTTAAATTATGTTAAATAAAATTTAATTAATGTAATTTTGTAATTGCTACTTTATGTTATTTTTTTTAATATTTTATATAAAAAATATTTAATTATTTTTTGGACAATTATGAGTATATCCAATATCTAACAAAAAGAAGATGAAGACACAAATTTCATATTCGTTAGGTATGAAAACAAAGATGATATAGGATACAAGAATAAGATGAGTATAATGAAACCTATACTCACTTTATTTCATTGTCATCCTTATTTTAGAGCCTAAGTTTTTAAATTTTCTATCATAAATTACCTTCTTTTTTTTTTTTAATTCTAACCATCAAAAACTAACTTTAAGGACTTACTTTTTTAATTTAGGAAGTCGATTAAAAAAAATAATTTGGAGACTTCCTTGCAAATTTCCAAATAATTTAGGAAACAAGCAACTAATCTAACCATAGAAACATATACATTAGTTAAAAATAATCATAATAATTGGTATACTTAATAAATTTTTAAAATGTATCAATTAATTTAAACGATAGATATATTTTTCCTCAACTTATCTACCTTGTAAGATAATAATTCAGTATGTGCAATGTCTAAAATAAATGTTTATTTTTATACGACTAAAATTTATAATCAATAATTATTTTCAATAGATGAGTTATATTATAATTAAAATTCGTAATAATACTTTTGAACATTAATTATGTTTTCAATTTATCATAAATAATATATATATATATATATATTATGATATAAATTAATATATTAATATATATATATAAAGTTATATTTTACTCATAATAATTTATTTTAAATTATTGAAATCCAATTTACAAATAAAGATTAAAATACATCAAAAGAGGTAAAATAAAGATTATAGTGATTTAAAATGGTTGAGAGTTTCTTGAGACAAATTATTAAATAAAATTAAATTTAAAATTACAATTAAAGGTATATTTCAAAGAAATAAAAAAAAATCAAATAAACTCAACAAAATAAGACATACACTAGTGTAAAAATTGGATTTAAAATCAGAGTTTTAAGATCAATTTTAAAATCAAATAAAAGTTACGAAACTGATTTTAAAAGTTAAAAATAACTAATTTTAAAAGTTTTTTTTTTTCGTGACTCACAATGAAAGTCATCCTAATTTTTTTAGAATGTTTTGATTCTTATTATTTTTTATAATTAAGAAGTATGACTCTCTTTATCTAAATCAATTTATTTTAAAATATAGTTGTACATACAATTGTAATTTCATGTCTAAAATAAAGATATTAAACTTTGATATTTAATTTAAGAATATAAATATCAAAATATCTATGCGTAACTTTTAGTTTTAAACTATATATTTATAAACATAAAAAATCAAATAAAAAATTTTAAAATCTCTTTCATTAAATAATAATATTTCTTAAAAACACTTTTACCGAAGAGAGATTTAGATTTATATTACACACGTAGACGCATGCATTTCAAAAATCTTTATAATAATTATTTGGATAAATAGGGCTTCTTCGACTAAAATATTTTTTGTTAAAGTACACTGCTAAAATATAATTAAGGTTTTATTGATATTCTAAAGTATTAAATATTTTGAGACAAATGAAATTCTCAAAGTAACAGATAATTTAACACGGAATAAATACTTTTAAAATTGAGGGAGTACATAAAAAGTGGGAGACAATCGTATATTATTCTGTAATCATACTTCTAATCATTTGTTTTAAAACCAGACAAGTTTATGACACTGGTAAAGACATTTGTTTGCTTATATATATATATATATATATAAAATAAGGATAAACATTCAATCAATATAAAAAAATGCAGCATATCATATCTTTATAAAAATGTGCGAGAGAAAAAAGCCTATAAATAGTTTTACAAGGTTATGTAATGACAAACCAGTAATTTACTAATTTTAAAATAATTACCTTAAAAGTTATATTAATAGTGATTTATGATTGATTAATTGTATAAAAATAATTTATATTAATTGTATATTCTTTAAAAATTTATAATATTGATACAAAATATTTTTATTTATATCAATTAATCTCTATCAAAAATTATAAATGTACATAATGTAGGTATTTTCTTTTCTAATTTGATTTGTTTTAAATTTATGATTAGAATTCAAACTTTGAACAATTTAATTAAAACTATAAATTACTCACACTTGTACCAACTAATATTAGTTTAAATTGTAATTGTATATGATGATTGAACCAAAAATTAATACAAAATGAGTTCACAAATATTATACATTAATTAAGTTAAATACATTTTTGGTACATCCCAACCATGCTATAAATTTAAACACACTTAATTCTTATAACTCCTCACACATTTAAAATTAAGCTTGGTTCTGAATTTTATACTTTTAATATTGTCGTGTGAACATTTTAGTTTTAATTTTTATAGTAAATACTATTTTTCATTAATTTTAAAAGTGTATATATGAACTTAAAATAAGCTTTTATACAAACTACAAAAGACATAAGTTTAAAATCATAAATATATAGAAACTAAAAATACATCTAACCTTTTCTTATTTTAAGATTGCGAGGTAAAATTCAGTTATTGTGTTTAAGGAAAGTAATTTTTTAGGACGACAAACAATTTTTGTCTCCACAAAACTAAAATTCAGTTTTTGAACAACATCTAGAGAAATATCTTTCCATTATTTAAAATTTGTAAATAAATTTTCTTTACAGTAAAAAAAATTGTAGTTTCACTTAACTATTTAATCTTATTTTATTGTCTGTGTCATAATCAAAACTTTATTTTTAATTAATAATTTTGGCATGTATTCTCCCAAATGTAGAAGAGCCAAAGAAAAATATAAATGCATATATTTCCCTCTTAAATATCATTAATAATTAGTTCTGTTCTTTTTCTATTGATAGCGACTATTTTTTTTTCTTTTCTCTCTCGTTTATGTATAATTTTTTTATATTATATTTCTTATGTAAGGTACCCACTGAGTCACTGACTGCAAAATTGGGACCCAAAATTTCCTGTTCATTTTACACGGTCTTCCTTTTTCATCCAAAAAAAAAAACAACGTACCATAGCAGTGCATAACTCGTGAAGTGATTACAACCCCTTATCATTTTCTAATCACTGATTAGAGATTACAAAATCAAATCTTAGTTCACCATTGTAATCTTATGAGTTAGATCTTTTCTCCCTTTAATTTTTCTTAATTTTTATTTTGTTCTTATGATTTATTCCACCTTTTGAAGTATCTCCAACGTAATGAGAATATTAGTCACAACTATCAGCGGTGAAAACTCTATAGACGAAAAAAAAAAGTGGAACTAAAACTAAAATATACGTAGGGACCAATAAATAGTTATCCAAAAAATATCTAGGTTAATTTTATTTAAAATATTTAAAGGAAAGAAATAAACTTATATCTATTAATGTGTCTAGGTTCTGTGATTCGAATTGGAAATGGAACTTATAAAAAAAAGCAAAAACATTGATATTTGATGGAGACCTTGATAATATCGTAAGATTCCTCTCCAAATTGATGTCATTAGCCGAAGGAAGAGTGAGAGGGACAGGGAGCATCGCATTGGGCTGAAGTTGTTGGATCGTAAAGAATCCATCGGCCCATACCCAGTCTCCACAAGATAATAATTT